AGTGTATGACTGGGTTTTTATGAATGAAAGGAATCCTGTGCGTGAGTAATTCCGGGAAGCTCGCTTTACAACTGCGCGCGGCTCCGGCCCCCTGCACCGCCCGCTCCACAACAAAACTTTGGCGCGGCGCTCCCGGGAGCTCGGATCCGAGGGACTGGCGGTTCGGACCGGAGAGGAGACAGCCCAGGGCACGGGCTAGGACAGCCGCGGGGACCGCACCGAGACGCGAGCGTGCGAGGGGCGCCAGGCCTCGCGGGCCGGGAAGAAGGTGAGGGACGCCGGTCGGGGACGGGGACCGAGCGGCCGCCCCCGGAAGCAGGGTCGTTGTGCCCGGGTTGGCGCCGTCGGCGTCCGGGCGCATCCATTACGGGGACTACGGGCGTCGGAGTCGTGGGGGGGGGGTACCCGGACGGGGCCGAAGCCGGCCGGGCGGGGCGGAACGCGGACCCGGAGGAAGCGAGCGCAGCTTCAGCCCCGCGGCGGGGGCTGCACATACGTGACTCGGAGGGAACAGCCTTGGACCGGTGCCCGCGGCCGTGCGTGCGCGGTTTGTTTACGTCCGCGGGCGGCGGACGTGCGCGTGTGTCCTGGCCCGCGTCCTGGGAGCTCTGCCCGGGCGTGCGCGCACGCGGGTGTTTGTGCGTGTGTGCACTGCGTGTGCGTGTGTCGAGCGCTCTCCTCGGAGCCTGTGTGTACCTCGCGGAGGGCGTGTCCTCGGGTGACCACAGCAGTAAATGCGGAATGAGGACCTGAGCTGGGGAAGCAACCCAGCCCGGGTCACACGGAGTCTGGAAATTCTCGCCTCAACCTTCCCACCAGCCAGGACTGCCCGGTTTCTGCTGTCCCTGGAGTTTCCCAGGGCCCTAACCATGTGACCCCAGTGTTTGTCCCCCGCCCAGAGCTGGCGCCTGCAGCAATAGGGTGGGGCGGAGGTACCCGTGTCCCCACCCAGCTGAGCTGGGGGTGAGGTAAGCCAAAGCCACCCTTCACCTGTCTCCCGTGGACCTGGTAACAAAGTGAGTGGGAGCCCAGGGGGTCCGTGTTTTCAAGCTCCCTGGGAAGGGCAGACCTTTGGGCCGCTGTCCAACCTCTCAGTCTCAGGAGAAACCGGAAGGGCCAGAAAACGCAACGCAAAAGCGGGGTTTCTTCCTGATGGCTACTGTGGCTAGTTTGGGTGGCGAGGCGGTACCTGGTTGGTCACGGAGAAAGGATGAGGTGGAGCTAGTGGCTGCCTTCCTGGGAGTTCCAGCCCGCATGAGGGACGGGTTAGACTGGACCCATCCATGGGCTGTGGGACCCCAGAACCAGTTAAGCTGCCCTTGGCCTGGCAGGGTCAACAGGGTGGGGGCGGGTGGTCTTCCTGCGTGCAGGGTTAACATGGCCCTGCAAAAGCACCTGGTCAGTCTGGCAGCCTGAAGGATGGGCTGGAGAGAGATCCCCCGATCCAAATCTGTCTTCTCCGTGGTCCTCTGGGAATCACAGGCTGGGGTGGGTGGGAGTTGAGCTTCCTAAGGTGAAGAACTAGTGGTCCATTAGCTTTGACCCTTTGTGCCCTGGTGATCTCTGCCACCACAGGGGGCACCCCGGAGGTCCCCATCCCAAGCAGAACTAGGAAACCTCCTGCATGGTGGCGGGTGGAACCGGGGACTCTCTGCCAGCCGATACACGCAACCTGTTTCCAGGGAACTGTGGGAGATAGAGGCAACCACCCTCTGCACGCTTCCCAGCCAAGAGCAGGGGTGTCCAAGAGTGCGTGGGGCTTGAGTAAGGGGTTTGTCGCAGGGGCCAGGCAGTCCTATCCCCCAAGCCGGGCAGGAAATGCCCTGGAGTGGGGCTGGCGTCAGGGGATGAGGGGAGTGGCTGCTTGGCTCAGTCACCTATGGAAAGTTAGTAGCATCAAAAAAGACTTCACCGGGTTTGGGGATATAGTTTAGTGGCATGATGCCTGCTTGGCAATTGAGAGGTCCTGAATTTGATTCCCAGAGTACTAAAAAAAAAAAAAGAAAAAAATTCCCAAAAAGGCTTCACCTCCCCTAGGATTAGAAGAAAGCCACCAAACTAATGCAGAACACAGTGGATGGTGTGAGGGGAAATCACTCCGGTTAAAGGAACGGAACAGGACCCTCAGCGCAATCAGGGAAGGCTTCCTTGAGGAGGTGGCCAGTGAGCAGGGTCTGGTGGAGTGGTGATCTTCTGTGATTCCTCTTTGGACCTTCAAGGCCCAACATGGAGCCTGGCACACTGTAGTTGCTTCTTGGATGTTTGTTGATTGAATAAATGAGCCCTGGCTTCATGTCCTTGAAGACACAGGGAGATAAAGGGCTGGGAGGCCAGGGAAGCAGAAAGCCAGGGCATGGGTCCCTTGATGCTAAGTCTTAAAAGTTGAGCAGATCTTCAGGGATCAAGTGACATCCTCCTTTCTGCACACAGTAACAGGAGTGGAGGTCTGGTCTTTTACTCACTGTTAGCTGAGATCCTACAAGGTGGAGAGCCCAAGGTGGAGACCTCGAGGGTGCAGCGCCTCTGCGGGCTGCAGGGAGGTTTAGAAATGGCTGTGTAGGTCCAGTCAGTCACCAGCCCTCGGGCAGCTCTGGGGTTCAGAGGTGGAGGAGGTGAGAGCAGAGGGCAGTGAGCAGGTGCTGGGGCCCTGGTCCAGCTGGAAGAGGAAGCAGCCCTGGTGGAGGGGTGACAGTCCCTGTGTTTGTGTTCTTATGTCCCTCCCCTTCCAGGAAGCCTTCCCTGATTTCCTTTCCCTTGTTCCAGGGCCTCCCCTCCACTGGTGATCTCTGGGCCAGAATTTCCCACTCTAAATTCATCAATCATTATCGCTGGGAGGTGCCTTAAGCTCAGGGGAGGCTTGGCGTGTGTGGGAAACTGAGGCTCAGCGAGGGAGAGTGACATACCTGAAGTCACACAGCGCGTATGAGTGGGTGGCAGAAACGGGATGGGCCGCGGGCTGTTGGTGCTGGTTCTTCCCGCCTTGCTCCCTTCCAGCAGGGAGGAGGCTCCACAGCACCAGCTGCCAAGACTCAGGAAAACACATTTTTTCCCTCTGTCCTCACAGAGCCAGCAGCCTGCTCAACAGGCAGAGAGGGGCTCCTGCCAGCAGGGGGCCACTGAGGGGAGGCCACAGGGCTGGGAGCCACTCATGGGCAGCCACCAGTCCCCCAAGAGCAGTTGTGGTCCCTGTACCTCCAGTGTCCGGACCCGCAGCCCTGGTGGCTTCCGGGGAAAGGAGGAGCGGTCAGGAGGGGTGGGGTCCCAGGGTCAGCCAGGCTGGTGGTGATCGGGACCCTGGCACCTTGCCTTACACCCTGTCAGGGGCTGGAGGCCGAAAGCCTGGGTGACGGGGAGGCCCCCCTCCTTGTGACTTGTTCTCTGCGTGACTGCTGAGTGAGGACATTCCTGGACACACGTGGGTGCCTCAGCTGCCAGCAGAAGGAGGCTGAGGGGCTGAGGCCAGGCCAGGGCATGGAGAAGGAAAAGCAGGTTCAAGCCCTCCTTGGGCTGGGCATGGTGGCGCATGCCTGTGATCCCAGCACTTGGGAGGCCGAGGCAGGAGGATCACCACAAGTTTGAGGCCAGCCTGGATTACACAGTGAGACCCTGTCTCTAAACACCAAAACAAAACCACACACACACACACACACACACACACACACACACACACAAAGTCCTCCTTGGCCCTCAAGGCATTAGGCCCAGTGCAGGCCTCCAACATCACAGAAGAGGGGGCGCGGCCGGTTCATCTCAGGGCCACCCTGGAAGGCTGTGTCCCGGAGGATTCTGAGGCTGCGTCCAACTCAATGGGAAACAGCTCTATGTTGAGAAAGACTGGGGCTGGGCCTCTCACTCGGAGGGAGTGCTATGACACTGGTGCTTTGAGCAGAGAGGGGTGACGGTGACAGAGGATGAGCCCCCATGCGCAACCCCTGCTCTTACCTAAGCCGCTTGGATTCTACACAGTAACATCGGGATGATCGTCCTACTTTACAAGGGAGGAGACAGGAGCAGGGGACCGGGGTACGGTTTTCTGCGCCCTCGTCCTGGGTGCTGCTGCCCTATGCTGTGTGACCCTGGGTGACTCTGTTGCCCTCTCTGGCTGTGCCCTCACAGAGCTGCCGAGGGTCCAAGCTGATGGCTGTGGGAGGGATCAGGAGTCAGTCCTGGCCTCTGCAGGTATCCACAATCCTCTCCACTTGCTGGGAGGCAGCTACTTGCCAGCTGTGTGACTGCAGGCAGGTGACACCCGTGTCTGGGTCTCTACCTCCCCTTGGGTTAAGTAAGGAGGCGGCGCCAGAGGGTCCTCCAGCGAGTCAGGGCTGGACCCCTGTGCTGCTTGGGGTCGGAGCAGCAGTTTCAAAACCTCCCGGATGTTCGCGGCCCTCTACGGTCTATCCACTCGCTCCCACCGAAGCCCTGCGAGTCGGAAACGGTCTGGTCCCGTGGATGGAAGGTGGAGATCCAGAGAGGTGGCCCAGGGTCTCGAAGCCTGGAGAACACAGGCGTGGAACCCACACTCAAGCTGGCCCCCTGCCCGGCGGGGCCCTTTCCCTGTCTCCCCTTTGGGCAGTCGGAGAGGGTCCCTTCCGCTCCTTCCCGTGCTCCTGGTGTCTGGGACGTCTCCACTGGGGGAAGCCAGGAGCCAGATGCAGAAGCGGGAGAAGTGGAGATAGGGCAGGAGGCTCTTCTCTCAAACCGGCTCGGGTTGGATCTGGGTTCCCACACTAAGCAGCTGGGAGACGCCACCCCACACCCGCGCACAGCACACACAGCACTCAGGGGGGGCATACAGCTCACCCTAGGAGGAGGACAGGGAGGGCTGCGTGGCGGAGATGCCGGCACCCAGGGCAGGATGAGGGGGAGGGGGCTGCTCATCCCGGGGATGAGAGAGAAAAGCATTACGTCATGGGGCTGGGACCCGGCCCAGAGGCAGGAAAGTGCGGGCGGAGGAAGTGAAAGAAATTCCTCGGCGCTGGAATGCAGAAGCGGGCGGGGGAGGTCGGGTAGGGACCCGGGGTGCCTCGTTCTCTGGACGGCAGGAGCGGGAGCATGGAAGTTTTTGCTCTGCGAGGCGGCAGGTCAGGTACACAGATTCACAGCGTGGAAAAATCCTGCCGCCGCTGGGAGAGGAAGCTGGGGCCAGCAGGGCGGGGTGCTGGCACCTCCCAGGTGTGGGCAGGTGGCCCTTCAGGTGGCACACGAACGTCTCCAGGTAGCATATGGAAAATCAGGCAAGGGTTTATGTGATTTGCCCAGGCAGGATGGGGGCAGGGTACAGAGACCCCCAAGGAGAGCTGGGTAGGTGGGGCAGCCAGGCCCAGGTCGGGAAACTGCGGCCAGGACCCACACTGAGCCCGTGGGTTCAGCAGCTTGGGGATCCACTGTATGAGGCAGGCCTTTCCCGCTGCCTGCACAGGAGGCTGAGAGCTGCCTAAGTCCTGGCCTAAGGCACAGGTCTCAGCCTCTCCCAGCTATACCACTAGAAGCCTGGTGCCAGCCGGGCGTGGTGGCGCACGCCTGTAATCTCAGCACTGGAGAAGCTGAAGCGGGAGGATCGCTGTGAGTTCCTGGACAGCCTGGGCTCCATAGTGAATTCAAGGCCAGCCTGAACTGCATATGGAGACCCTGCTCAATCCCTCCTCCTCCCTGCCGAAAGGAAGCCTGGAAGCTCTTAAGACCCTCCCAGCCCCAGGGCCACAGCAGCTGCCTGTGCCACGGAATCTCTTCAAGTGTCAACTTCCCTTTCCTGTCCCACTCCTTCCTTCCCGCTGAGCTGCCAGACTCCTGACTGCGTGGGCCAGCAGGGGCTGGGGGTTCCCAAGAAGGCTGGACCGTCCCCGCCTCAGCCTGAGTCATGCTGAGAGTTCAGTAAACCCTTGGGCATCCACCTCGGCCAGGCATGGTTTAGGCCCTGGTGGGTGGGACGAGACAGACACTGAGTGAATCCATAAAATGTATGCGAGCAGTGATTCTATAGCATGGAAAGTGCAGTGGAGAAACAGGTGGGGAAAGGGGTGTGCGTGCACGTGTGTGTACATGTGTTTTGTGTACCCAGGCTGGGAATGCTGAAATGGATAAACATGGTTTTTTTCAGAGGCAGGGTCTTGCTATGCAGTTCAGGCTGGCCTTGAACTCATGGTGATCTTCCTGCCTCAGCCTCCCTGGGCTAGGATTAGGATTACAGGTGTGCGCCACCTTGCCCAGCTGAACATGCAATTTTTTTGTTTGTTTGTTTGTTTGTTTGTTTTTTCCGGTACCGGGAACCGAACTCACGACCTTGCGCTTGCCAGGTAGGCGCTTTGCCGCTGAGCTAAATCCCCAGCCTCTTTTTTTTTTTTTTTTTTTTTTTTGGTGAACATGCGATTTAAAGAGACCTGAAGGATGAAGAGGCAGACTTGGGGGCTGTCTAGGGAATGAGACTGCCAGGTGGAGGGGGCTGCCGGTGCCAAGGCCGTGGTGGGGCCGCTCACCATGCGTCAGGGTACAACAAGAGACTGCAGGGCTGAGCAGGAGCTGAGATGGGGAGGGGCGAATGCAGGGGCCACTTCACCAGCACCCTCTGGCCTCTGTGGTGGCCCGGCTTTGCTGCCAGAGATGGGAGCCAAGGAAGGGTCCTGAGACCGGGGTGACAGGATCTTCAGATGCTGCTGCCCAGGGGAAAAGCAGGGCATGGAGAGGTTCACTGACCTGCCAGGATCCATGGTAGCAAGTGCGATGCTACCAAAGGGCTGGCGTGTCTGGCCGCAGGTCTGTGCACTTTCTGTCTCCCCTAGTGTCCCCTAGACTGCCCTGGGTCTTCCCGGTGTGTTGGAGGTGGGGCTGACCCTGAGTTCAGCTCCACCGGCAGCTCAAGGAGCCAGGGCCTGGCATTTGATTTTTGTTTTGTTTTGTTTGGAGGTGGTCTTGCTATGTAGCCCATAATTTGCAGTCTTCCTGCCGCAGCCTCTTCTGAGCTGTTGGTATCATAGATTAGCACCCAGGTGGACCACGTTTTGGTTTGTTTTATTGGTATTGGGGATGGAACCCAGGGCCTTTGCTCTAAGCTACATCCCCAGACCTTTTTAGCTTTTATTTTGAAACAGGGTCTTGCCAAGTTGCCTAGGCTGTGCTCAGACTTGTGATCCTCCCGCCTCAGCTCCCGATCCGCTGGGATTACAGGTGTGTGCCACCTTGCCTAGCTGGACCCGGTTTTTACCCCCTGATCTCTAGCAGTCTGAGCATTGCTCATGATCATGCACAGGGGAACTGGCAGGAGAGGAAACTGAGGCTCACACTGAAGGGGTGATAAGATCAGAAAAGAGGGGGGCAGAACACATCTCTGCTTCAAAGGGGCTGGGAGACAGTCCCCTGTTCCAGCTCATGGCAATGACAGCCTGCCCCCAGGATGTCCCCTTTGTGAGTTTTTATTCACCTCTGTCTCCTCAGTGGTGAAGATAAGGCAGAGTTCAGCCAGGTGTGGTGGTGCACACTTGTAATCCCAGCATTCAAGAGGCTGAGGCAGGAGGATCACTTTGAGCTTGAGGCCAGCTTGGGCCTCACACACAATGAAACACTGTCTCAAAAACAAAAAACAAAAAATACCAAATCAAATAGTTGTGTTTGGCTCCATGTGGAGGAAGAGTGGCTGATGGCAGCCACTTCTTTAGTGCTGCTTTATTGTGCATCTGCTACATGCCAGGCACCGACTTCAGCAGTGAGGCAGTGGTCAGACAGGCAGTGCCCTTGTGGGCTTAAGTTTTGGTGGAGGAATGTGGGAAGGAGAGACAGATCATAAACCATGATAGGAACCAGACAAGCCACAGTGAGTGGCCTGCACCTATAATCCCAGCTTCTTGGGGGCCTCCAATGAGAGGATCATGGGCTAAGACCAGCCTGGACAATGTATTGAGACACTGTCTCAAAAATCAGAAGAGGTGACTTATGAGGGTTCATAAATGGGGTTAATGATGTCACATGGAGGTTTTAGCCAGGATGGTTAGGGAAGACCTCTCTACAAGCTGGGTTGGCCTAGATGATAAGGAATTGTGGTGGGGAGACAGAAGAGTAATGAGAACAGCAAGTGCAAAGGCCCTGAGGTCGGAATGATCCATTTAGGGAGGCTGCTATGGTTGAACCAGTGGGGTCAAAGATGGTAGGTATTAGTTCTAAGATAGCAGGGGCCTTGAATGCCAAGGTAGTGAATTTGGATTTTACTCAAAGTGGAGGGGGAAGTGACTTGACCCCGGTCCTCCCATAGGTTTCCAGCCCAGAGGGCACCTGCTGCAGACATGTCTGTGGATCCCTTGTCCAGCAAAGCCCTGAAGGTGAGTCAGTGGTTGCCCCCCACCCACCCACGCAGGCCTCCACATCCCAACTTCCCCTTTCCTTCCCAGAATCTCCAGGGGTGGCTAGGCAGGCGGCAGGAGCTCTCATGGCAGGAGGACAGGTCACTTCCCGCTTTGGGCCTGCTTCCCCGTTCTGAGGTGCTTTCCGGGCTGGGTTTCTTGGGCTGAGCCAAGGACTTCACACTTGGGTAGGTTTCAGCCGAGCCCTGGCATGGCCTCCTCTGTGTTCCGATCCAGCTTGGCCTGGTTTCTCCTTTCGGGATCCCTACTCTCCTTCAAGGTCTTAGAGCAGGTCCAGCCTCCGCCTTGGGGGCTACGTCGTGACGGGGCGCACGTGGCAGGGGGTTGTGGGAGTGGACCCCGGGCCTCAGTTTCCCCGCGCCCGCAGGTCAAGCGCGAGCTGAGCGAGAACACGCCGCACCTGTCGGACGAGGCGCTGATGGGGCTGTCGGTGCGCGAGCTGAACCGGAACCTGCGCGGGCTCTCGGCCGAGGAGGTGACCCGGCTCAAGCAGCGGCGCCGCACGCTTAAGAACCGCGGCTACGCCGCCAGCTGCCGCGTGAAGCGCGTGTGCCAGAAGGAGGAGCTGCAGAAGCAGAAGTCGGAGCTGGAGCGCGAGGTGGACAAGCTGGCGCGCGAGAACGCGGCCATGCGCCTGGAGCTCGACGCGCTGCGCGGCAAGTGCGAGGCGCTGCAGGGGTTCGCGCGTTCGGTGGCCGCGGCCCGTGGGCCCGCCGCCCTCGTGGCGCCCGCCAGCG